TTCACAGTTTATTAGGTAGAAATAATTTTAAAAAAAAAATTAATTATTTAAAAATTAAAAAATAATATTTTTAATTTTTATTTTACATTTGTGATCTATATTCTATTGTCTACAGTTACTCCACCATAGCCTGGACGGCTTCCCTGAAAAAGGGAGTACACGAACACGTGGACTACTCTCCAAGAGGGAAAACCACAAACGACCACGTTTTCAACTTCTTCAGTGCGATGGGTGACGTGGCATTCTCGTACGCTGGACACAACGTGGTTTTGGAGATCCAGGCAACAATACCTTCCACTCCAGAGAAACCTTCAAAGGGACCCATGTGGAAAGGAGTGGTAGTAGCATATATAATCGTTGCCATTTGCTATTTCCCAGTCGCTTTTGTTGGTTTCTACATTTTTGGAAGCAGTGTTGATGACAACATCCTCATCACTCTAGAAAAACCCAGTTGGCTTGTTGCTGCTGCTAACTTGTTTGTTGTCATCCATGTTATTGGAGGCTTTCAGGTGCGTTTCAAATACCTAATTATCTTTTTTTTTTGGGTTTCTGCCCAGAATCTTCTATCTCTAAATCTTTCTATTTCATATTTTGAGATTGTCATACTTTGAAATTTTTAATTAGGATAGAGGAATACAACAATTTGAATACAGAGATCCTTGACCTTGATGATTTAACTAGAGAGTACCATTGGCTGATTTTAAACATTGAACATATTATTTTTACAAAAAATTAGGTTGGTTGGATATTGATAATTAGATTATGGGATCACGTTTGTTTTACAAAATTAGATGAAAAATATGATTTTGATAACAGATTATTCACTTTTTTAAGATAAATGTGATCAGATCATATAATTATCGATTTTCAATTAATTTGATTTTTTATATAAATGAGTTGTAGATAGATTTTACAAAATTAACGATATGAATTAACGAAGCGGGTTCAGGGTGAATCCACTAAGCTCCAATCGTAACACTTCAGTAACCTAGTTAGATTGCTAGCCAAATAGAAACTCAACCCTTTCTAAATAATGTGTTTGTGATCTTCTTGTTCCATTATGAGTGTATGATTTCTCGACCTGTCAATTATCATGCTTTGTTTCTCATATTTATATAAACCACACAATGCAGATATTTGCAATGCCAGTGTTCGACATGATAGAAACTTATATGGTGAAGGAAAAGAAATGTTCGCCTTCTAATGTACTTCGCTTCACTATTCGTGCAATATACATCGGTAAGTGGTTCTTGGCTTGCAAATGTGGACTTAAATTATGAGAATACAATGAAACTCTGTGCAAAGTTTGTATACATAAACTCTGAAGATGATAAAACCTTGAAATCGTAAAAAAACACAATATATACAAACATCTTAATATTACCAAACACGGTAAAGAATAGAACCAAAACCAAATATTTTGTTGGATCAAACTAGTTGTCCAAGAGTAATAAGCACGATTCGAATTGAATTCCAGGCACTTGCAAGAACTATAGACGTATGAAACATGCATTTTGTTCTTTATACTTTTTCACTTGACTTTCTCGATTTCAATTGATTTGGTGTCAACCTAGTTTATAGGCATGAATAATCATTTAGCCAGAAGGCTTGCAGGTCGAAGGCTCAATGAGCTTTTACCTAGACTAAGCTTGTATCCCAAGTGTGCTAGTCCTGCCCGAATGAGGCTTGGATTGAGCCTAGCCTAGGGTTTGAAGTTGAATTTATTAGCCTATGAGAGGTAATCTGTCAACCCAGTTGAAAAATTTAGAAATTCGCTAGATATTGATTTGTGATTATGTATCAGTTTTAAGCAATAAAATAATCCTAATCAAACAATCAAAACAATTCGACACAACGATTTTAACGTAGAAAAACCACAATTAGAGCACCTCTAATTGTGATAAAAAAATCCCGGGCAACAGCCACAAAACAATCCACTAAAAAGATATAAAAGAATTACACAGGTTCGCGAGCTAGCCTATTGTCTCCGAAGAGGTGGCTTGGCCCGCAAGCTTTTTGGGAAGGGATTGCGCTAACTTTTTGACCTGAGACCTGGCTTGTCGTGTTCACCATTTCTACAAATCGACTTGGCCCGATGTTAAGCTTAAGAAATAAATCTTTATAAAAACTTTCATTTCAAATTAGTGTGGCATGTATCATATTAATAAATTGAGTCCTATTTTGCATTTCAAAACTATTAATAAATTGGCATAACGAATTCTTCCTTCTTTATTTGTTATTTCTTCTCTTCCTGTTTATTATTATTATTATTATTATTATTATTATTATTATTCTTCGTAAATCATTACCTATTTCTACCTTGATTGGTTGCAGGATTGACAATGTTCGTTGGAATAAGCGTCCCTTTCTTCGGGGGCCTACTTGGATTTTTTGGTGGATTTGCCTTAGCCCCAACCTCATATTATGTAAGTGAAAACTTCATATCCTCACTCATACCTTTTGGAAATTACTAGTGATATTATATATATAATGATATAATTGTGTTGTTACTTATTATTTTGAAACAAAGTATTGATTTAAAATATTTATTTATAAAAATACTACTGCCATACCGTTTTGGTGACAACTTTTGTATAAATAACACTTTCCTAACACACTACAACAATTTTACATTCATTGGAAAATTATTTTTTTAGATAATTAAACAATCCGACATAGATATGATTAATCCTTTCTCAATATAAATAATTTATATACGAAATAACATGGTTGCATTGAGACTTATTCTAACCGAAAAGCATGACCATTAAGTGATATTTAATTACCAAGATACTATTGTCACAATATTCTAATGGAGAATTTTATATAGAAATTTTGTAATATTTTCCATCCGAATATTATTGATGTTTTTCTGTTTTTCTTTTTACAGCTCCCTTGCATCATTTGGCTTACAATATACAAACCCAAAACATTCAGCTTCTCTTGGTGTGCAAATTGGGTACACACTTGAACTTAATATAATGCACCAAACTAACCTGTTTCATTTTGTTTCTTCCATTTCTACAAAGCGCTAACTGATTATGTTTTTCGATTCATGTATTTCAGTTCTGTATCATCGCCGGTGTTCTTCTGACAATAACAGCACCCATCGGTGCATTAAGAAACATCATCCTCCAAGCAGAGACCTACAAATTCTTTTCTTAATTCATTTCTCACGATAGAGGTCATCGTACTTTCAAATTCAAAACTCAAATCATGATATGGTCTTGATTGAATCGATTCAGGATGATCTATTGTTACTTCATGGAGTCTGTATATATAATTTGTTTCCGTCAAAAAAAGAGAAAAAATAAGAAAAAAATAAGGGATGTGACAACTTATTTCAATTCATTTTTTTTTTATTTTTTCCAGTATTATTATTGTTGAGTTCTAATTTAAATAAGGGCCTAGTCAATGTCATAGATTTGGGTTTAAATAAGGACCTAGCAGTATTTACTTGACCAAGTCATGCAACTCTTTTGGGACTGGATGTTTAAGGAATATCTTTTTTTGTTATCTTGAGGGAAATTTGAAAATGTTGTTTCATTTTTATTTTATTTTTTTTCATTTATGCAAGTAGATTACCAATGTTCATTATATTCTGGAAGCATATTTGTGGAATGCCATTCATCAGTCCACTTTAGGGACAAATAATATCTTACTTGAATTTATAATGCATCTTGAAATAGATAAGAAAAGTTGCAGCTTGCTTGTTTTCATTTTTCAGAAAATACTTTTCAGAAAATTCTACTTTCTTATTTTTCTTATTTTTTTGTTTTTACTGAATTTTTTTAATATTTTAAGCAATTTTTTTACTTTTTAGACACACTTAACATAAATACACCTAAAAAAAAAATTGTAAAAAAAATCTTTTAAAAATTCACTAAATACAAAAATATAAAAAAAAACACAAAAATTCAGTACATTTTTTGTATTTCTATGTATTTATTAATTTTTAAAAATATTTTTTCACAAATTTTTTACTTTTTAGATACATTTAACTAAGGTGCATCTAAAAAAGTAAAAAAAAAATGTTTAAAATTTAAAAAATATTCACTAAAAACAAAAGAATACGAAAATCAAAAAACTCAGTCTTCAAAAAACTTAATCCAGAAAACTCAAACCAAACACACCCTTGTTATTATTTTATTGAGTGATTATTGTTACAGTTTCTTTCAAATTATCGTCATCTTGGTTTATCCCATTAATCACCGTCTTCGGTCCAACACAATTTAGCATTAAACAAGTATTGTAATTGAGGTTCAAAATAATATATTTTGTCTGTTTTGATATTGAGAGGGTAATTTATAACGAAAAATTGGGCGGAGCCACGATCCTTTGATTTCTGTTGTGGGCCGAACTAAAAGGCCGAAGTGTGGACGTCAAGTAGCTCAGTCCCTTTTTTTCTGAGTACCAAACTGGGCAAAGGCGTTGACTGAGCTACCTAATACTAAGCCCAAGGGTTAGCTGAGGTGTTTGGTAAGATGGAGAGCCGAGCTAGGTGTAGCTCGGTCAATACTTCTATTCCATTACTTAGTTGAGCACAGAGCCGAAATAACTTGGTTGACCGCAATGTCAGCCGAGATAAAGGGGTCGGCCGAGGTAAAGGTGTCAGTCGAGGTAAAGGGAGTAGCCATCACTTGGCTTGCAGTGATGAGGGTGTTCTAAGGATAAGCATTATCCTTAGGCATGAGACTCCTAGTAGGACTCTGCTAAGGAGAGTTAGAGTCCTACTAGGATTGCACAAACCATCTCACTTGGTTGGTAGTGAGTAGGGTGTGTAATTCCTAGGAGGACTCATAGGGAGAGTTGGAATCCTACTAGGATTGTGTCAAGCAAAATCTATAAAAGCTCATGACCAGACCTTTGTACAGGTATCTCAATTCTTACTCTAGAATACACTGAGTTTATTGTCTATTGTCTAGTTGCTGACTTAGGCATCAGAGGGGTTTTCGGCACACATCCGCCGGTTAGCTCACGTTTGTGTTTTCAGGTGGCAAAGCAACGTTGTTTGGAGGAGTGCAAACTTGATCAACGGGATTATACGATGAAATTATTTCGTGCTCGTACAAATATTATGCTGATTTATTAATGATCACGTCATATAAAAATTTAAATTATTAAAAAAAATAACTTCATTATTTATATCTTCTACAAGGAAACAAAAAACAAAAATTAAAGTAAAGATTCATTCAGCTGCCACTTTTAGGGTACTGAAGTGGATTGAATCAACATTGATAGGTAAACCACATCTACTCCAAACCATATGATGTGTCAATAGGCATGACTTGTTTCATTCTTTCTTGTGCGAAGAGAACAAAGTGGGAGTATAGTTGAAGATCAAAAGATTGGCTTGATAGATGATGGCGCTCTGTTATCATATGAAATGTATGGATTTGAGTTTTATATTTGCGCTACACATCTTTTTATTTCGTTTATTTCTCTCATACGCATTGTAAAAACAATAAATAAATAAGTATAGTTAGAAAAATATTGTGTTATGCCAATCGCACTAGAAACTACAGAGGCACTTTGATCTTCTGAATCTAGAGATGGCTCTTACATGATTAAAACTATTAAGACATTGTCTCTTAAGTATAAAATAACTTTTTATACAGTTCATTTTCTTATAATTTAACTAATGTATGCCCAAGCCTGAAGGTAAATTTGAGATTAAAATACAATTAAATGTAATTTAACTAATCTGTTGCAAAACAAAACAAAAAAAATAAAATCAAATAAAAAATTTGAAGTCAAAAAATATTAATAGATGGTCCGTTAGGTTTGAATTTTCAAATGAATTTTATAATTATATTTTTAAAAAGAGTTTGTCAAACGTGAAATTTTGATTTCGTTTGGGAAATGAATTGAGTTTTTAGCTGCTTTAACCTAGACTAAAAAGTATTGTTTGAGACGGACTTTTCGATTTTTTTGACTTTTGTGAGAGAAAAATTGAAAATAATTATACTTTGAATGTGACATTTTGTCTTATTAATTTTTAGTTTATTTTATCATTTTGTAATTATTCTAATCCCAACCTATGATGTCAAACGAAGCGAATTTGATTGTATATTTGGAAAATAATTTTTACAAATTTAAAATTCAAAACATATTTAGTTTTAGTGTGTGCTACATCCTGAGTGATACTTTGAATGTGACATTTTGTCTTATTAATTTTTAGTTTATTTTATCATTTTGTAATTATTCTAATCCCAACCTATGATGTCAAACGAAGCGAATTTGATTGTATATTTGGAAAATAATTTTTACAAATTTAAAATTCAAAACATATTTAGTTTTAGGCCAAGTTTGGGAAGACTAAATAAGTATATTTTTTGACTTTTTTTGTATTATGTGTAGAAAAAGTAGAGAGAAGATGTTGATTGATGTGACCTAAAAAAGATAAAAAGATGAAATAAGTGTACTTTTTTTTGTTAGCCAAACTTGGTGTGTGCTACATCCTGAGTGGTTGGCGTGGGACAAAACCAGTTTTGTATATGCATGGTGAATAGATATGTGTATTGGTAGATGTATATATCAAATAAAAGTTAGTTTTTTGACTTTTTTTTAAAAAAATATGTGAGATAATATGACCCAAAATAAGTTAAAAGCTAAAATGTGACTTTTAACTCATTTTCGAAAATAAGTTAAAAAATTTGCATTCACCCAAAAAAAAAGTTAAAAAAATTGTAAACTAAAAAAAAATTCCAACCGCCGTAATCATGGGCATCAAAAAATTTCCACCAACATTCGGCACGAGTATCAAAAAAATTTCCACCAACATTCGGCACGAGTATCAAAAAAATTTCCACAAACATATTTTAAACCCAGTACCAACCAGCATACAAAGGGCTATTTTGGAAAGATGATTAAAAGCCATCTTCCAGCTTTTAATTTATTTTAGGTCACATCATCTCTCATATTTTTTACACATTTTTTTTCAAAAAAAGACAAAAAAAAAATCAAAAAGTTAATTTTTAAACAACCCAAAACAAATGCAATGCCCTTTGTCTCCAAAATATATTCTTTCATTTTTAATCTATTTAAGAAATGTGCTAACGTTAAGACTTTTGACAAATAGCACTCAAATTAAAATTATTGAGTCAAACTTATTAAGATCAAATTCATAATCATTTTCATTCAAATTAATTATCTTCTCAAATATAATTATTTTAATATATTAAAATAATTGTGTTTGACTTTTTTATTATTTTTTTTGAGAGAAAATAATTAGAAAAATGTTCCAGATTGCATATGTCCTCAATTATTTAATCTGTCTCATATATCAAGAAGAAGAGAGATAAATGAATCACATATATCAAGAAGAGAGATAAATGAATCACAATTCTATAGGACTCTTTACATCTGTCCACTCACTCTTTCTTTTGTACTCTCTCCATCTACTGTCTCTAAGGGTGGGCGCGGGTCGGTTGTGGCTACGGAACATCCAATCCGTCATCCGTCTGCCTGATTGGCGGATTGGATAAAATCAATTCGTATCTATTCGCCAATCCGATGGATGTGGATTGAGTGGATTAGCGAATGAATGCGAATCGGTTTAGCGATTTAAAATTTTATAAATTTTCAATATAATTTAACTTGTGCACTTTCTAAAAAAAAAAAAGTATTACAGTTAATGACTTAAAAAAAGTATTACAATCACTGCATGCCTCATCCAAAGAAAAAAAAGTTTGAAATTTTAGAATATTACAATCACTGCATACCTCATCCACATATTACAATCACAGCATGCATCATATACATAAAGTATTACAATCTGTGATTCTTAAAATATAAAAACAATTCAAACCATTAAAACCATGAATAGAGCAGTAGTAGAGATTGTATATCTCTATATTGGTACATATATATCTGTTTTTGAAAATAAAAACTAACTAACATATATCATCTTTTTTATTTATTATTTTTAGAGTTAGATTTAAGAACCAAAAAATATAGATAAATAATACATTTATTTTTTTTCAATTCAAAAAATATATTCAAGTTGAAAACTTTTTTTCAACAGAATATTTAAACGCTTTTTCAATTGAAAATACAAACAGAACATCTAAATAAATAGAAAACACAAAATCTTACAAATTACTAAGGATGCTCGCGGTTTGGTGGTTCGGTTGCGGCCAAAGGAACCTCAAATCCGTCATCCGTCCAAAACTAGGCAGATTGAAAAAAATCAACCCGTAACCGTCCGCTCATCATCACGCGTCTGTCCGGTTTGGACACATCAGTATATTCGCTACTCATCCCTAATTGTCTTCCACTCATTCTCTCTCTCCATCTTTCCCACTCATTCTTTCTCTACCTATTATCTCTATTCTCTCATCTCCTCCCTCTATCTATCATCTTTCCCTCTAACGTCTCTAACTATTCTCTCTCTCCAAACCTTTTATTTCCTTTGTTTCTTTTTTCGTTAAACATATATTTTTTTTTCTTCACTCTATTTTCTGTCAAATTTGTGATTTGATTTTGTTAAATCATAGGAAATCAATGCTCATTTTAAAAATCAACACCCATTTTCCATTAAAGAATCAAAC